GAGATTTCATTGACAAGTGAAGATTGGAATCTCATATATCCAAATCCCGATCAACCTAGCAGGTTAAAAAGGGGATGGACCCACATTTTCGAAAGGAATATTTCGAATCAAATAAAAATACCCTGTTTATGGGTTTTTAAAAATCATTATGTATCGTTTAATTCTATATATTTGTTAAAAATTAAAGCTTTTTGTAAACAGTGTTCAGCAGTGTTATTGATTAAAAAATTAAATACTTTAAATAATATATATATAAAATTTATATGTGAAATATTTAATTTTAAATTAAAACAGCATGATAGTAATTATAAAAGACCGCTTAGTGGGACAAAAAGGGAAGAAGTGGCTAAAGAATTATAAACTGATTTAGCTTTAAACTGGCGTGTGAAAAAAGCAAATGAAACAATGAAATATGGTGAATTAGAACCCAGAACTTTATATTCCTTGGATGTCCTACGTAAATGCAAACAATCCATTTCTAATAAATATAACATTAAATCGGATAGTGTAATCAATCAGTTATTATATCTAAAATATACTCAACCATATTTACCCAGTATAATCAATATATCCTGTGACAAATTTTTTATGCACTACTGGTTACCAGAACAAATGATAACTTTTAATAAATATTGCCAAGATACTAACGTATCCATACTACAAATAGATGCTACAGGGACCTTAGTAAAAAAAATTAAGTCGACCTTATGATCAAACATCTGGTCATATTTTTCTATACATAGGAGTAATCGATTTAAAAGTAAAATCTGGGCAAATACCTGTAGTTCAGATGTTATCAGAAGCCCATGATATTAACCACATTTCACACTGGCTGAATGTATGGGTGCATAGAGGTGCTAAAATACCTAAAATTGTTGTAACTGATCATTCATTAGCTTTATTGGGGGCTGTTGCCAGATCGCTAGCAAATTTTATTGATCTTAAGTCATATATTGAATATTCATTTAATATAATATTAGGTCAAAAATTGCTGACCCCTAGGATATTTATTAGAATAGATTATGCTCATTGTATCAAACTAATAAGTAGATGGCCTAGTTTATATAAAAAACCTCGTTTATTTAGAGAATTTTATATACGTTCCGTTGCAATGCTAATAAAACCGCTTCCTTTAAAGAGGCGGAAATATTAATAGAATCCATCCTCATTGTATGTAATAGTGAATTTTGTGGGATCGAAACTTGTCCTGACATTACGCTGAATGCTAAAAAATATCTAAAAAATATAATCTCTGGAATAGAAGATATAGACATTAATATATTAGATGAACTCGAGGAGGAAATATCCATTGACTTAAATGTATCTAGTAATATAAATTACTGGATAGAAAGTATTAAAAATAAAGCCATATCTAAATGTATCATACCATATAAAGATGAAAATTATTTCTATAACCCAGAAATAACTATAAACTTATGTAATTTTTTAAAGACCTATCCTTTATGGTCTAGTATTATGCAACCACATTATAATTATGGACAAGTTACATCTTCTACATCAAATGTTGAAAGTTATTTTAATAATTTGAAAAATAGAACATTTAAATCCGTAATGTTACCTATTACTATTGATAAATTTTTCTGTAAACATTTTGATGAAGAGGATTGCTTACTATAGCTGAAGCGTCCCGAATCTCTAATATAATTAAGGAAAAGGATACTGTAGAAATTATTATACCACAAGAAACAGACAATTCACAAATTTCTAAATTTAGTAGTTTAAATGAGGGAGAAGTGTCTGATGATGAATATCAATTAATTGAAAATTGGAAAGGTTTAGTAGATCAACCATCTATAAAAAAGAAACGTACTTCATATTATGGAGCACATTGCCCTGAAATATTACATGTAATTGAAGGGACCAAGATTAAATTAGGTATGTTGAAAAATGGGAATCTTACCACAATAAAGAGACCTTTAAAACTTGGATCTAATAGATATATAATCAGTATGCCCTATTGATAGTTTATCACAAGCAGTAGCAGTAGCCTACTGCGATAGCAAATTATATAAAGCTTTTTTTGACAATTTAGAAAATAGTATATTTAAAGAGTTTATAGAATATTTTGTTTCGCATGGGGCCAATATTAATACATATAAGATAAGGTGTGATTTATTATTAAAATTATTCGATAAAACTAAGATTAGTAATGGTATCTATAGATTGTCTTGCGAATCAACAATATATTATATTATAGAAAAATGCTATAAAGATATATATAGTGTAACCGATATTTTTAAATGTAATAATAAAGAATGTTTACGACCGGAAAATTTCTTAGAAATAATATGTTTACCAATAAATTTAAATATAATAAATAATACAGGTTTTGAAAGTTTGGATATTGCAATCCAAGATGCTTTACCTCTTTTAACATACTGTAAATCCTGTAAAATGCCGGACCCTTTATCTTTAGTCCATAAGTACCAATTTCATGAACATGTTATAAATGACACTACAGGCTGTCAAAGTTCTAAATTAAATAATTTCCCTAGATTTATAAATTTAGGAGATACATTATATTTTTTAAGAGCTCTTATAGTATTTATACCTCCTGCTGTTTCTTCAGGGATTGGTCATTATATATGTTATTCCAAGCGGTTAGATGGAACATGGGAAATATATAATGATCTCTCAAAATTAATTATATATAAAAATAATGATTGCCAAGATGATGTTATATGTCATGCTATTTTATATACCATATGAATCATTCATAACATATCATCCATTGTTGGCATTCATTACTAATATATTTATCATGTTAAATTTAACCTTCTGGAATAACATATTTAATGACCTATTTGTGAAGAAGCAGGAGATATAAAAAATTAAACAACTAGATATCCCGTTAATTTATTTAATTTTGAACTTCCACCACACCTACTATTTTTATTTATAACTTATGTATTAGGGATATGGGATACAGCATTTTAAGTAATCTACACAATGTTATCTGAGATTATGCATCTTGAATTAAATATTCAATCTTTATAAACATCACATTGGTAGGAATATGATTTATAAGAAATTCTCCAGTCGTTACATTTAAAAAATCGGTACAGTATAAGTATGTTTATAATATAATTCTATAATATTGTTGATTCATAAGACAATATAAATAAATCATTACTCCTTAGGTTTATCAAACAATTTTAGTATTAAATCACAATTTTGCGAAAAATAATATTCTATCTTTGAATATATTATTTCCTAAATTATCAAAAAACATTTTATATGATTTGCTACAGCAGGCAATTGCTTCTGCTTGTTATTAACTATTAATAGGACATGTATTGATGATTATATCTATGATTTGTGGTAAGATTTATATTTTAAACAAATTAATTTAATCTTGGTACCTTTAATTAAACGTAATATTTAAGAGCAATGCACTTAGGTTTTTTATGGATTAATTATCTGCCAACCCTTCCCATTTTTTATTAATACAAATTCATCGACACCTTTATCCTGAATAAAATTTCATTGCTATATTTAAAAATTTGTAATATTTCTATTTCTTGTGGTACATATTTTTTCTATCTCCTTAATTATATAAGAGATGCGAGATGTCTCTGCGACAGTAAAAATCTCTAATATTTAATCTAACGGTTAATTTTATCAATTGTCATGCATAAGCAACAATTACGAATTTAAATCATCTAATTTTAAAATTAATTTAATAACTTCCAGCATTAGATGGCTGTAGTTTGTTCATAATAATAATGTGAATGCATTATCTGAATCAAGGACAGATCTTTAAAAAATTACATAAAATACGAGGTTATAGAAATATATTTCTTCTTTTCATATGAACATTTAAATATAGCTTTATTTTTAATACTTACTATTCAGCAATGAAGATTGCTAGATATATCTTATAATCAATTATTCTTTCATCATCATGTTCATTTAATATATTAAAGTCTCCAGAGATTACAATTTTAAAATATTTATTAGCATTCAGTCAGGACAAATCTTAATATAACAAAATTCATTATTCAATAAGGAAAGATTCTATTAACATTCTTAAGTTTAGCAACGTAAAATTCTCTAATTAAATATTACTTTTTATATAAATAGGGTAATATATTTATTAATTTGATACATCGAGATTTTTATCTAATAAAAATCCTAGGAGTATGTTGTCATAATATTATATTTTATAAATATACACTATATGACTTTAGATCAATAAAATTTTCTGGAGGTCTAGAGACAATCTCCAATAAAGTTAAGGGATCATCAGTTCAATTTTTTGTAATTTACCTCCAAAATGTACCCTTTCATGCAGCTTTTTGGAAGTATGGTTATTATCCTGGCTTTTCATAATACTTGCACTATGGCACATGCCTTGATTTTTATTTTAAATCTATTATATATATGTATATGAAAATATTCCTAGATGTTTAATAATATGGTCAATTTATTTTTACTAAGGTATATGAAATCTATTTGTATGAGCAATATTTATTTAAAGTTATCATCTGTTTTTGTAACCAATAATATATAAATAGTTTATCATAGGAAAAATTGATTATAATGGGTAAATATAGTTTGTGTATATTTTAGATATAATAATTGGTATAATTGTAATCCCATTTAATGATAGTTTTGCCTGCGTATTCATATGACTTCTAAGGAATATAGATTACTGGTTTCGAATTCAATATTTCATGGTTTGATTTGTTTAACACATCAGTTTCGAACTAAATCTGACTTAGCACTTAGTTCATTTTTATCTCAATAAGCGGTCTATTATAACGATAATTATGCAACATTTTAAAACAATAATTCACACATAAATTATATATATATAGTATAAATTTTTTTAATCCTTAACACCTCTGAACTGAACACTGTTTACAAAAAAGCAAAAAAAAAAGCAAAAAAAAAAAGCAAAAAAAAAAGTAAAATAAAAAGCAAAAAAAAAAGCAAAAAAAAAAAAGCAAAAAAAAAGCAAAGAAAAAAAGCAAAAAAAAAATAAACAAAAAAGATAAAAAAATTATAAAAAATACGAAAATAAAACCACTAAATCGCCAAATTTAAAATCGCCAAAACATCATTCACACCTTGCAGATTCGCCCTCAGATAGGGTCAAGGCCTGTTTGCTGACAACTGAGGGTAAATAAATTATTCATAATAAATCATTTTATTTTAAATTTTCAAGCTGCAACAATACCAAATCTAACTTCCTATTCTATTATAATGTAATTAAATAATTTTTTGGAAGCAATTTAATTTTTTTATAGCCGATCCCATTTACACCATGCAGATTCGCCCTCAGATAGGGTCAAGGCCTGTTTGCTGACAACTGAGGGTAAATAAATTATTCATAATAAATCATTTTATTTTAAATTTTCAAGCTGCAACAATACCAAATCTAACTTCCTATTCTATTATAATGTAATTAAATAATTTTTTGGAAGCAATTTAATTTTTTTTTAGCCGATCTCTCATTTACACCTAGCACATTTGCCCTCAGAACATATTAAAAAATGGATAAAACAAAAAAGAAAAAAACACAAAAAGAAAAAAAATGATAAAAAAAACAAATGAAAATAGAAAAAATGATAGAAATAAATGATAAATCAAAAAAAGAAAAATATGAAAAAAGGAAAAAGAAAAATATGAAAAAAGGAAAAAAAAAAATATAGAAATAAACAAAAAAAGAAAAAAATTAATAAGAAAATACAAAAAAATACATTATGATAAATGGAAAACAAAACTGAAAATGAAAACGTAAGCTTCCTAGATGATTTTAAACACGGAATGAGAATTTAAGAACCAAGTATTATATAGTTAAAATAATTTATAATCTTTATAGATAGCTTTCTAAGGGATATTACACAATATCTGTACATCGAATTGAATAACTGAGAACCAAGTATTATATAGTTAAAATAATTTATAATCTTTATAGATAGCTTTCTCAGGGATATTACACAATATCTGTAAATCGAATTGAATAACCAGGGATATTACACAATATCTGTACATCGAATTGAATAACTGAGAACCAAGTATTATATAGTTAAAATAATTTATAATCTTTATAGATAGCTTTCTCAGGGATATTACACAATATCTGTAAATCGAATTGAATAACCAGGGATATTACACAATATCTGTACATCGAATTGAATAACTGAGAACCAAGTATTATATAGTTAAAATAATTTATAATCTTTATAGATAGCTTTCTAAGGGATATTACACAATATCTGTAAATCGAATTGAATAACCAGGGATATTACACAATATCTGTACATCGAATTGAATAACTGAGAACCAAGTATTATATAGTTAAAATAATTTATAATCTTTATAGATAGCTTTCTCAGGGATATTACACAATATCTGTAAATCGAATTGAATAACCAGGGATATTACACAATATCTGTACATCGAATTGAATAACTGAGAACCAAGTATTATATAGTTAAAATAATTTATAATCTTTATAGATAGCTTTCTCAGGGATATTACACAATATCTGTAAATCGAATTGAATAACCAATATTACACAATTTCTGTACATCGAATTGAATAACTGAGAACCAAGTATTATATAGTTAAAATAATTTATAATCTTTATAGATAGCTTTCTAAGGGATATTACACAATATCCCTAAATCGAATTGAATAACCAGGGATATTAGACAATATCTGTACATCGAATTGAATAACTGAGAACCAAGTATTATATAGTTAAAATAATTTATAATCTTTATAGATAGCTTTCTCAGGGATATTACACAATATCTGTACATCGAATTGAATAACTGAGAATCAAGTAATATATAGTTAAAATAATTTATAATCTTTATAGATAGCTTTCTCAGGGATATTACACAATATCTGTAAATCGAATTGAATAACCAGGGATATTACACAATATCTGTACATCGAATTGAATAACTGAGAACCAAGTATTATATAGTTAAAATAATTTATAATCTTTATAGATAGCCTTCTCAGGGATATTAGATAACGTTATGATCTTTTCCCTGATCTCGGGCCTGCCCGTACCTACAACAACAACATGGCGATTGGATGAAGTTTGAATCAATTCCACAGATTTCCTATGAAATACCCAAGTGTACTTAAACCGAAAGGACCCAACAGCAATTACTAATTAATACGCTACATCCCCGCGCTTATAATAAATATATATATAGCAAATATAATAAATTACCTATGTTTTTTACTTTTCTGAATAATGATTTCATTATGAAAGGTTGGATATTTTTACTGTTTCAGGAAATCGCAAAATGTAAATATGATCACACTTATAATTCATCAGGTATACATGAACAAACCCTAATGTTATTTATTTTGAGCTCTTAAAACGAAATAGTCTATAGAAAAACCTATTTCTCAAAACCAATTGAAACGCGAATGAATATATATCCCAAAAGTATTTAAATAAGATGTTTAGAAACTCTATATTGAAAATTATCCCAAAGCAATTCCCCCATTTATATCAATTAGGGGGTCATCATTGATAGGCTCCTGAAAAAAATATAGGCCTTCCTGCCCCATATTCATGATATAATTTGAACCCCATTTATACAAAAACCTCAAGATCTCAAATATTCCCAACTGAAAATAGTAGAATATTTATTTTTGGTAACGCTAAAATTGATGTCATCCGCTTCAACAATATGTATGGACGGAAATTTCTGTATAGTTCCTAGATTATATGTTCAGCTCTATACATTGTAAATAATGTATGAAAATGTAATGATCCCAGTTATACAAGGGAGATATATATTCAACTTTTTCTCAATGTCAAAAATTTTGGTGCTTCCGGCAATAGGACGCGACTGCTATATCTGTTCTTAGATTTTATTTCCAAATATAGTGAAAGGTTAATTTTTTAAATATTTTAATCTAAAGTATTCAAGATGCTTCTATTGAAACTCACAATCTATTCCTCACGTGGGTAAGTGTAACTGCATTATTCGCTCATACTATATGGAAAAGGTATAAAAACTTGAAATATTTATAATCATTAATATTTTTCAATATTTAATTTAGGTATCATGTAGATGGCCTAACACTAATAACTAACTAGTTCGAGGGATTCAATCATGTGCTTAAACCTAAAACACTTTAGTGAAATTCAAACGCTATATATCTCATACAAATTCATATAAATAATATATAATCTTAGATAGCCTGGGTGATATTTAGTAATAGCGTAACTTAAACGCTTAAATTTACATAAATTGTAATTAAAACGACATCATGTCTGACTAAATAAATATATATACCGCAATTATAACAAATTATTCTTTATTATTGTGATTAATATAATCTACATTGTTCGCATTATGTAAATATATATTATATCTTACCTATGAAATTTTTGGCGATTTAAATAATAAAGCGACTAGTACAAAAGTCATAAAGGCCAATGTACCCATTTAAATTTTATATTACTGGTATCAGAGATAAATAATAAAATATGTGTGTCGCTGCCTAGATTGTCAAATTATAAAAATTTAATAGTTAATCACAAAATAATGGCAAAAGATGTATGTCGTTATTCTTGATTTTGTCTTAGTGGTGACGCCATTTTTTATTTAGCTATTAATATTTTAATTTAGGCTGCTAAACTGTATTTCTAACGGAGGACAGATGAATAATAGAAATTTTAACTATTCATTTCAAAATTTGAGGTTTAACTCGGTTACTATTAGTTATACGGATATCCCGTTTTGAGAATATTAAAGCACAAATTGAATACTAAATAATTGCCAAGTTTCGAAAGTTATTCATAATTATTTTCGGTTTTGGCAAAGTGCCAACACTTTCTTATTTTGCTCATAATTCACTAGCCGTTAATTCTGCTGATATGCCGTTTAAAGATTCTTAATGTTCAATTAAAGGGCTACACACTGGCATAAGAATCGCTAATTGCACCTCACATTTACTAAGAGTTCCGCTCATTTCCGCTTCTCAAATAAATAAATATAACTCGGTTACTATTAGTGATACGGATATCCCGTTTTGAGAATATTAAAGCACAAATTGAATATTAAATAATTGCCAAGTTTCGAAAGTTATTCATAATTATTTTCGGTGGCAAAGTGCCAACACTTTCTTATTTTGCTCATAACTCACTAGCCGTTAATTCTGCTGATATGCCGTTTAAAGATTATTAATGTTCAATTAAAGGGCTACACACTGGCATAAGAATCGCTAATTGCACCTCACATTTACAAAGAATTCCGCTTATTTCCGCTTCTCAAATAAATAAATATAACTCGGTTACTATTAGTGATACGGATATCCCGTTTTGAGAATATTAAAGCACAAATTGAATACTAATTAATTGCCAAGTTTCAAAAGGTAATCTAATTTATTTTCGGTTTTGGCAAAGTGCCAACACTTTCTTATTTTGCTCATAACTCACTAGCCGTTAATTCTGCTGATATGCCGTTTAAAGATTCTTAATGTTCAATTAAAGGGCTACACACTGGCATAAGAATCGCTAATTGCACCTCACATTTACAAAGAATTCCGCTTATTTCCGCTTCTCAAATAAATAAATATAACTCGGTTACTATTAGTGATACGGATATCCCGTTTTAAGAATATTAAAGCACAAATTGAATACTAAATAATTGCCAAGTTTCGAAAGTTATTCTTAATTTTTTTCGGTTTTGGCAAAGTGCCAACATTTTCTTATTTTGCTCATAACTCACTAGACGTTTATTCTGCTGATATGCCGTTTAAAGATTCTTAATGTTCAATTAAAGGGCTACACACTGGCATAAGAATCGCTAATTGCACCTCACATTTACTAAGAGTTCCGCTCATTTCCGCTTCTCAAATAAATAAATATAACTCGGTTACGGTTAATGATACGGATATCCCGTTTTAAGAATATTAAAGCACAAATTGAATACTAAATAATTGCCAAGTTTCGAAAGTTATTCTTAATTATTTTCGGTTTTGGCAAAGTGCCAACACTTTCTTATTTTGCTCATAACTCACTAGCCGTTAATTCTGCTGATAAGCCGTTTATAGATTAATGTTCTATTAAAGGGCTACACATTGGCATAAGTATCTCTAATTGCACCTCACTTTTTATAAATAATTCCGCCTACTTCATTTTCCTCAGATAAATAAATATTATTCGCTTGCGGTTAATGATACGGATATTCCGTTTTTAGAATATTAAAGCACAAATTGTAAACTAATTAATTGCCAAGTTTCAAAAGGTAATCTAATTTATTTTCGGTTTTGGCAAAGTGCCAACACTTTCTTATTTTGCTCATAACTCACTAGCCGTTAATTCTGCTGATATGCTGTTTAAAGATTCTTAATGTTCAATTAAAGGGCTACACACTGGCATAAGAATCGCTAATTGCACCTCACATTTACTAAGAGTTCCGCTCATTTCCGCTTCTCAAATAAATAAATATAACTCGGTTACGGTTAATGATACGGATATCCC